ACCCCCCCACCCCACCACCACCCGTGAAATGGGCTACCAGCTGTGGGGAGGGGAGGTGGGACATGTGGGACCCTGTTGGTGAGTGCCTCATCTGTTGCAGGACATGTCTGTGCAGGTGCGCATACCTGCGCCATGTGTATACATGCATGTGTTCTCTGGGCTGCCATCTTAAGTCCCCTGTGTGTGTGAATATTCATTACCTTCATTACACTGTTCACTCTCCTGCTGAGCTAAAAATAACTGGAGTGGCTGGAGGAAGGGCTTGCTAAGAGTACCCCTCAGCTCCTACCCCCTCAGAGGCAGGTTCCCAACCTTCCTGGAGTCCTGTGTCTGTTATTAGCTGAGCCCCCTCCTGTCCTTCATCCCTAGAAAGCGGGACTTTTCCCCACCATCCTGTGGGTGGGAGGGCCAAGGCTGCTGGACTCATGCAGATGTGAAAACAGAGGACCCAACTGGACCCTCCCCCAAGGCCTGGGGACTCTTTAGCACTAGGGGGAGAGCCTCTTTTCCGGAAATGACTGTTCTTGGCTGATTCAAAGTGACCTGAGATTTCCACCATTAGCAGTCTTGCAGGGTCTGGGGGAGGCAGTGGTCTGTAAGGCAGCATGCTCCAGCAGGGCTTTCTGGTGTTCTGGCTAACCTGCTTCAGGCCAGGTGGGAACCTTGCTGTGCACCAGCTGTGCCCATTGCCTGGTGGGCAACTGAGGTGAGGATAGGGCATCCAGGCTCCATGCCACCACCTCCGGGCTGTCCTAAATGTACCTGTCCTACGCCCACATGCTCATTAACCCTTTTAGGCCCCTGTGGGAAGCCAGCCCCACCCTGAGCATGGGAGCTTTAACCCCCACCTGAGCAAAGACTCTTTGATGCTGTCATACACCCTGGCCCACACCCACAGCCCTCTCATCAGGACCCAGAGACTAGGTTTAGCCTTGGGTGTGGCCCCTTCCCCAGCCTGCCCACTGGTTTCTTCCCAGTGTGTTGAGGACTGGAGAGGGAGCTGAGTAGGTCCTGGGAGGGGAAGCTGGAGGTTTAAGACAACTGTGTGGGCCGGCCCAGTGGCCAATGGAGAGTGCGCCGCTTGGGAGCACGGCGGCGCTCCCGATCCCATGTGGAGACCGGTTCCCGCTCACTGGCTGAGTGCAGTGTGGGCGCAACACCGAGGGTTGTGATCTCGTTGCCGGTCCCCGGTACGGGCGCGACACCGAGGGTTGCAATCCCGTTACCGGTCAGTAAAAAAGACAAAAACGAAAAAAAAAATATACAGATCTCTTGGCCACCTCACATAAAATCCAGTGAATAAGAACATCTGCAGGTGAGGGCAGCATGGATTTTTAATTTTAATTTTAATTTTATTTTATTTTTTTTAAAGATGACCGGTAAGGGGATCTTAACCCTTGACTTGGTGTTGTCAGCACCACGCGCCCCCAAGTGAGCCACCAGCCGGCCCTGATTTTTTATTTTTTTAAATCTCTGCTGGTGATTCTAAAACACAGCTAGAGCTGAGAACAACTGGCCGTAATTCCTGAAATCTTCTAGTCCAGTCCCCCTCTGGCTTGCTTTAATAAAATCATTATGCAATATGGTCAATGTATAGAACCTATCCTTTTGTGTGCCTCACTTCACTGATTTATAATGCAGCCAATTCTCTCTGTTAATTAAACACAATAAAAATTTAATTTTCTTTCTTTTTTTTTTTTTTTAAGATCCCCTTACCACCACTGGTAAGGGGATCTTAACCCTTGACTTGGTGTTGTCAGCACCACGCTCACCCAGTGAGCTAACCGGCCATCCCTATATGGGATCCAAACCCGTGGCCTTGGTATTATCAGCACCGCACTCTCCCGAGTGAGCCACAGGCCAGCCCCCCAAAAATTTAATTTTCAACTGTACCTCTACATTGACTAATGTGGGCTCCAGAAAAGTAAACTCATTATAGAATCTACTTAACAAAAATAACAAAGACAATAAATTGCACACATACATTCATAAAGTATTTCCAAAAGCTAAGGAGATTATTTAGGTGTGCTTAAAAATAAAAATCTTCCCCACCACTGCTTCCCTTCACTCACACGGAACAATCAAAGTTGACAAAATACTCGAACAACCATACCTTCTGGTAGTATGGCTGCATATGTTATACTTCAGTAAAAAGTTTTTTGAAAAATCTACCAACCTTTTGAGGGTGGGGATAGGGATATTAGCCAAGAAAGCACAAAGTGTTTTTCATATCTTTTTGGAAGTACACAAATCGAAAGATCTTAAATGCACAGAGCGACCACGGGAAAGAAATATCATATTCCTGGGATGCAAAGAATAAACACATATTCCTTATCAATGGGCAGAGGGTTAAATTCCTGTCTCCTAATCCCAACAAGGTGTCTGTCAAATAAGAATAGTAATAGATGAGGGAGGATCTAACCCTTTCACTCCCTGAACAAATACTTCTGGGAGCACAACAGACAGCAAGCAGGACAGACCTGGTCCCTGTCTTTACCAAGCTTATGGTCTAGCAGTAGACTGTCATTTTCTGGGCACCTGCTGCAATGTTTGTTACTGTGAAAAGCCACCACTGACTTTCCTGTCTTTTTATGTATTCTGCACCCCTGGCCCGAGCCCAAAGAACCTAAGAGGGTATTCCAAACAACAGGCAATAAATGATTTTTAATTACTGGGTTAGAAAATAAATTTGAGAACTAGCACTCTGATTTTTCAGGCTGAGCATCACTTCAGCAGGGCAAAACACTACTTACAGCACCTGCATTGTCCAGTTTATAATTTCCAGAGGCCAAACAGGACACACAAATTTGGGTCACTGTTTTCCTGGTGGTATCCCTAACTCTTATACTAACTTAAAAATTAAAACAAACAATTCAAACCAGTGAGAACTTCATTTTGAGCCAAGTTGGGTATGGTCCCCTGATTTCCCTATCATTTAGAAGTCATTTCTGCATCTCAAAGCCCCCCTCCATCTTTAAATAGTTCCTACCTTGCTAAGTACTTGGCTTCGATCTGCAATGTCTATGTATATGGCTTCCACATGTTTCCATGTCTCAGGCTCCAGTTTATGCACCTGCAGGAAGAAGGGGGACCACTGTGCAGTTTTTGTCAGCTACAAAACACTCTTTACCCAGAATGGACACCTAGGAACAGCTACTCCCATAGCCATAAATATGAAATTCCTACTGGCAAAGAATTATATGCAAAATTATCCAAAGGAATGGCAGAGTGTTTACAGATTCAAAGTATTTTATTGGTCACTCTATCATAGCCTCTGAAAAAATAAATGTGTAAATCTAAATTTTACCCAGTAACCATATGGTTCTGTATAAAACAAACACACAAACAAAAACACAGAAGAACAAACAAAACAAACAAAAAACTTCCCTTGGATTGAGTTATTGTTACAATTATTATTGGCACTCAATCAAAAAAATCACAGATTTTAATGAATAGTTTATATAAAAGAAAAAAATCACTGAAAATGAATCTCACAGTCTTTTTTTTTATTTTTTTTTCCTTTTTGTCTTTTTTCGTGTCTGGCAATGGATCGCAACCCTCAGTGTCGCGCCCGTACCGGACCGGACCGGCAACGGGATCGCAACCCTCGGTGTCGCGCCCGCACCTCGCTCAGCCAGTGAGCGGGAACCGGTCTGTATGTGGGATCCGAACCCTCGGCGGGAGCGCCGCCATGCTCCCAAGCGGCGCACTGTAGCAGTGCGCCACCGGGCTGGCCCAGGCAGAGTGGATTTTAAGTAAACATAAATTTGAGAATGAATGCTATGATTTCTCAGGCTAAATACCACTTCAGCAAGTCAAAATACCCTCAGAGCGACCTACAGTGTCTACACCGTTTCTGTATGTTCCTCCTTGATAAAGACTAAAAACACTCCTGGAGAGGTTGCCTGCTTAGCCATATACTGCTTATTTTGATTAGGTTATACACATACATAATACAAATTTATTACACAAATCCAAAATATACAAAAGGATACAATAAAGAATAACTCTTCCTCTTGTTTGCCTCCACTCTAGTAATAGCCACTGCTACCAGATTCTGTACATATACAAACATTCACATGCATAATTTTTCTTTTAATACAAACGGTAGCACATATACACAGTCTTGTATCTTGCTTTTTTCACTAGACAATGTATCTTGAAGGTTGTTCCCTATTGGTTCTTTCTAATGGCTGCATAGCACACCACCATTTGGCTGCTTCACAATTTATTTAATGGTGTCCTACCAATGACCTCTTGTGTGTTCTTATTCTTTGGCTACACAAAGAATGCTGCAATAAATCTCCTTTTATATATGTTATTTCACACACGTGAGAAAATAACTGTCTAATAAATTCCTAGGCATGGAATTGCTGGGGTAAAAGATAAGTGTATTTTAAATTTTGGGAGTTATTGCAAATTGTGCTCTATAGAAGCTATGACTTTGATATTTTAAAAATAAATATAGTTCCTCTGTGCCAGGAATTGCATTTTACACCAATCTAAGCACTATAAGAAGGCCTTGTAAGGAGTCTTAGAGATCACATTTTGCAAATCAGAGACTGAGCAGTCCCATGCTGGTAGGACATGTCTACACAGAAGCTATTGCCTTCCTGGACAGGCAAAAGGGGACCACAGAGAGGACCCCACAGCAGGGATGGAGAAGCCATGGAGCAGAGCCTCAAAACCTCACCCTGGGCCCTGGAAATCCTTGAGACTATTGGGAAGTACTACTTACATTCTCCTGGGTGCCGAGATCTGGTTTGTGCCAGGTTTCAATTTTGATGAGAAAGTCTTCTTTCATGTACTCATTCTGGAAGAGAGAAAAAAAAATACCTTACAGTCACCAGGCTTATAGTTGGAGAGTAACCATCTCCCATTACTAGATCATGGGCAGTAGGGACAGTTCAGCCTGTGCCTTATAATAATAGCTAACTTGACTGGGGAGCCCACAGTATGCTAGGCATGCATCATCTCATTCAATCCTCCTCTCAGCCTGTGTGGTCTGTAAATCACCCTCATTTTACAGATGAGGAAACTAAAGTTCAAAGAGGTTAGGTACCATGTCCAAGGCCACAGAATCATGACAGAGCTGGGCCTCAAAAACAGGCTTGTATGACTTCAAAATCCATATTATTTAACCACTCTACCATACTACTTTATGCACAGGGTGCTGATGGTTAATTAGTAGTGTGCAAAGAACATAGGAAGATTTCTTAACCAAACAAAAACATTTGCCACGGCCCCTTTCCCCCCAACCAGCCTTTTGCTGAGGCCTGAAGTTCTCTTCTCAGAAATTTAACCCTTTGTGCTAATTACTGTCTCCCTCCCTTAGTGCTTTTTAAAAATCAGAACTACTCAAAGGAAGAACACGTTAACCAACCCATTAAGTTCTCAACAAGAATTAGTTTCCCTGAAACTGCCTTTGTTTACCAGCAGGGACAAGGCACTTGGATAAATATGCTAAAGGGTGGAGAGGAAGGCCAATGACAAAGGGCATAGTCAAGGAAGAGAATCCTGTTGACTTCATAATTTTGCCAAGGGGCAGTGCTCACTGGGATCAACAGATGCCCAGATGAGAAAGGGACGTCACAATCAGATCAGCTGAACTGAAATTTCTATACAACTCTTAAGAAGGCATGGCCTGAGGACAGTAAGGGAGAGCCTCAAGTCACTCTGTACACTTAAGACCGAGAGCCAGGATGTACCTGATAAAGCCAAAGGCCAGGGCAGCTTAAAGCAGGAGGCCACCATGCCAATTAACAAGTTCCTCATTAGGATAGAAAGGATTGGGCCTCAACAACTCCAAATGTCACCCAAGGGAAAGAGAATACCCCGGACCTCCAATGCAGTTACATTTTTATTTCTCCTTCTCTTATAAATCGTCTACAAGTCCAACTCCCCTGACAATACTTACTGTAATAACTGCTCCAAGGCAAGGTCATGGAAAGAAGAGAGAAAAAAATTAATGATGATGAATAAAAATCTTCCCCCCCACCCCCGCCCAGGACCATGAACAGCAGAGCTCTTCACTCCCTGTGGCTTACTCCATAGTCACCTCCAAGCCCCAGTGAGCCAGCAATACTTCAATGTGTCAACCCTCAAGTCTTACTCATACAAAAGTCCCCAAAGACCAAATCTGGAGTTTAATTAAAGTGATGTCACTATGGGCTTCTTGGGATTCTTTCCAGCAGGGCAAGGAAAGGAACTGGCTCTGATCAGCTGGGGCACTGCAACCCATCACTCTGCCATCAGAGCATCCCCTGGGTGCCCGCCCCCACCTCCCAGGGCACAGAGCAGGCTGCCTTAGGCCAAGTGCTGTCTATCTGTCCTCTGCATCCTTCCTCACACTGTAACCAAACCTCTCATGCTGTGCACTCCTGCTCATTGTAATGGGACCCCCTCGGAAAACAGAGTTCAATTATTTATCAGAGAAAATTACTGCAGCTCTCGTTTCACTAGGGAACCAACTAGCTCTCCTCCTGATGACGGCCCTGTTTGTTCTGTCCCCTCTCAGTTTAGGAGCTATCTCAATTTCCAACAGATGCCACGCTGCCATTGTTTGGAAAATATATAAGGCTAACAAATTCCCTAACTCTAAAAATGAAACTAAGGTTACCTCTGAGACTGAAATGAGGAAAAGTTGAAATATAGGGGATATGATCTACCATGTGTGGAAATAACCCAAAAAACTGTCAGTAATTTCTCAAAATCCAATGAAAGATACTTTTAAGGAAGCACTAGATTAAGAGTATAAGTAAAAGACCTGTAATTGAAATAAATGCCCTGTTATCAGCTTGAAGAAAATAGTGTTAAAAAAAGGAAATGATGGGTATAATACCCATTGAAGGGAAGTCCAAAGAGGCCAATTTGTCAGAAATTCTCCATGCTGTCATGGAGCAGGAGCCCTGGCCTGCATTGTGACACATCTAGCAGCTCCATCTCCATAACGGAGACAGCAGCATCAGGCTGGCCTGGTTTGATGACACTATCCATTAAGCTTCTGCAACTAATCATCTTATTCTCAATCCATGTTCTCTAAGAAAACTTCTCCTAGTTTAGCTCTGTAGGGACAGAATGTGCTAATCAATGGACACAAGAATCTGATCACTTAACCAAATGGACATTTTTCACTACACGTTGGTATTCTGATTATGAGTTGGTTTCCCAAATAGAAGAATCCACAAGGAAAGAATGCCCTGATCAGCCAACAGGAATATCTGATTTCATTAGTAATTTTGTATTTCTTTTTTCTTTTTTTTTTCCTTTTTTGTCTTTTTTCGTGACTGGTAACTGGATCGCATCCCTTGGTGTCGCGCCCGCACCGCGCTCAACCAGTGAGCGGACTGGTCTCTATATGGGATCTGAACCCTCGGCGGGAGCGCCGCCGTGCTCCCAAGCACCGCACTCTACCGAGTGCACCACCGGGCCAGCCCCATAATTTTGTATTTCAATATAACTTCATGGATTGGCATTTGGGGTTTTTACTCATCAGTCTTTGTGAGACACTGAGGAACAGATATGCATTCAATTCTGACGAATTGGGTTTCTGAACCCATGACCTCTAGCCCTCCCTGCCCCGCCAAACACCTCTGCACTCACAGCATTCCCTTTTCCTCAAATCATAATCCTAGATACATGGGAAAAGCAGCAGGAAAACCTTTGTAGTTGGAAAATTAGGCTTTCCAAATAAGACTAATAAGGTTTTTCTGTGGGGTTTTTTTTTTTTTGGTGGTTAGCTGGTACAGAGATTGAACCCTGGACCTTGGTGTTCTCAGCACCATGCTCTAACCAGCGGAGCTAACCAGCCAGCCCTTAATAAGTCTTGTTTATTTTGGCAGCTGGTTGGTACAATAAGGTATTTTTAAAGCATGGCTTAGTGATACTGTATCCAGCCAAGTGATAAGGTTAGAGGGAGAGGTGGAAGGAGAAAGAAAAACATTTTTTTTCTTCTCACTTTCATTCACACCAACCCCCATCTTACCCCTTCCACATGTCCTAACCCATCAGCTTCAGGGGAAAAGAGACAGAAAAAGAGAGAAAACAGAAAAAGCTGATAATGAGTAGTGTATTCCAAATCTATTTTCATTCCACTCAGAATAAGGTGAGAGCCCTCCAAAAGGCATGGGGAATTTTACTCTGTGCTCCTTTAGCCATCTCACCTCAAACTTTGATCTACTTAGGCCAAGCTAAAATGTTTGAACTAATCACCTCTCTCCCACTGACCCCCAGAGAGAACTGAAAAGCAGCCTTTCTTGCTTATTTATATCTCTTGTGTTTTTGTTTTTGTTTTTGGCAGCTGGCGGGTACAGGGATCGAACCTTGGTGTCATCAGCAACACGCTCTAACCAAAAGAGCTAACCGGCCAGCCCTATATTTTAAAAGAGCAAGTATCAAACTGAACAGATCTAAGATTGTATATACTCATTCTGCATGAAGGTGGATTCTATGAGGTCAGCACCCACTGAAGAAACCAATGTTTCCTCCCCCAGTCCCTCTCTCTCTTCTTCATGGGGTACAGTATTTAGAAATTACATTTTTATTTTTTTTCCTTTTGGCCAAGGGTCTACATGTAAACTAACATTTGCTGTCTAGAAAAATGCTCATGTCAGCACTGCACACTCTCCCCAGAACTACACAGAGGACAGTGGCATCTCTCAGTTCATACAAGCTGTGAACACGGAACCCCGCCCCAGGCATGGAGAAGTCCACGCTATCTTTTTGCTTCCCTTATGCCAAGTTGGTTAAGGTTCTTACAACGCATGCTTACTGCAACCCTCTTAGACAGCAAGAAAATTCACCTTTGGCCATAGACCAGACACACCCAGCCACACTGCACACTGTCTTTTAAGAATGTGTGCGTGTGCCTTGTTTCCAAGAATTTAACAGCTTCCTGCCTGATGCCTAGGGAGCAGTGATGTTTACATTTTCAGTTACAGCAATAAAACTGTTACACATCCCAGGCCTCACCAATGACTGTGCATCTCCTGATACAAGGTCCCTGAACCTGTGTAGAGCCACTGAGAATTGGAAAGAGCAATGACCCTGTGTTCTCGACTTTAGACATTCCTAAAGTCTACAGGATAAGGATCACATGGGTCACATAAGGATTATATCCTCATAAGATACAATCTAGGGAGTCCAGGTCCCAACAAATAAAGCAAGTAAAGGCAGTGCAGGTAAGCAGAGGTTGGCAGGAGGACCCCACAGCCAGACTGTCTGTGCCAAGAAATGAAGGTTGGCTGGAGGAAAGGTCACCCACCTCAAGGACAAGTTCCAGGGGACTTCTAGGGACTCCTCCCGGGATATGAATCAGTACTAGTATGGGTCCTCCAAGAGGTCTACTCCTAGATGGCCCTTGAAACCTAGGAATCTTGGAAAGCTAAGAGTCTGAACTACTCAAAAGGAATCCCAGAATTTCTAGACTAGAAAAGAAAGTCCTCTGTGGAGGTTCAAATCTCTTCTCTCCTTTTCATAAACTCCAGACAGGAGAATGGCCAAGATTAAGAAAGTTTCACCCCTGCCCTCACCTACAGAACATGCTGGTTCAGCATAAGCCATCAATTCAGAGCACTTAGTAGTGACACCCCCCAACGCCTGAAAAATGTGCCATGACCACTCCATGTGTATATAAAACATTTGCGGGATAGCTGTTTCTAAATCCCTGGTCATCAAAAACTGGGCTTATTTCAGCTTTTCCCTAACAACATCATCTTCCCTTTGCTGTCTTTTCTTGGTGTCTAGGCCTGGCCCTTCCCCGGGGCAGGGAGGTCACTCTGCAGGCCCTTTCCTATGACTGCCTCTCTCAAGAGTTCCTGGGCCTCAATGCTGTTTTTCATGCCAAACACAAATATATCACATTGGAACTAGAAAATTCGGGCCGGCCCGGTGGCGCACTGGAGAGTGCGCCACCTGGGAGTGTGGCGGCGCTCCCGCCGAGGGTTCGGATCCCACGTGGAGACTGGTTCCCGCTCACTGGTTGAGCATGGTGCGGGCGCAACACCGAGGGTTGCGATCCCGTTACCGGTCAGTAAAAAAGACAAAAAGGAAAAAAAAATGAACTAGAAAATTCAATATCTAACAGTAGGGGAGTGGCTTAAAAAGATCACGGTACATTTATATGATGGAATACTATGAGCCATTATAAATTTTAAAAAATAGTAGATAGGAAAAATCTTCTCCATTTAACTGAAGAAAAATGAGCAATTAAAAAATTTGTAGTCATATCATCTAAAATTTGTCTAGAAAATGTGTCTGGAGATTTTAAATATATGTATGTGTGTACATATATATACTTGTATATATGCACTAAAAAAAGGTCTAGAAAGAGCACTCTTGCCATTCTTGCCATGAGATACCCTGGCTGCATGGGACCCTGTAGAGAGTTCCCACCCAGAAGAAGGCCCTCACCAGATGCACCCCCTAGACTGTGGACTTACCAGCCTCCAAAACTGTAAGAAATAAATTTCATTTCTTTATATTTAAAAAAAATAATAAGGCTAAAAAAATTACTAAAATGTTAACAGTGACTATCTAGTGATGAAAGAATTAGGGGTGATTATTTTCTTCTGTTTCTATTTATTTTCCACAGAACATTACTTTTATAATCAGTAAAAGCAATCAAAATTATCATACCATCCCCAAATAAGAGGGGCTGGTTCTGTGACATTTCAGGCCATGACTACTTGGTGGTTCCCGCCCAGTTGACCACCAAGTTGTGCTGGACAACACTGACACTCACCACCAGGCTGAGGGAGCCCCCAACTTCATACTTTCACTGGCTTAATCTGGAAAGTGAAGTTGGGACACAAGCCCCGACGTGCTCTCACCCCTTGACTGCACCTTCATCTATCCTGGGGCCCAAACTCCAGCTTCTAGCCAAGTCTGCACTCACCGGTTCTGCAATAAGGGTAGGCATTCCATGCTTTCTCATGTATATTCAGGGCTCCCTCTGGGGCCAGCATTCGAACAAACGTGGGTACTTTGCTATAGTGAAAAAAAGGGGTTATGAAGAGAAATGGAGGAGAGAGGAAGAAGACAATAGGCTTTTACATCACATTCTTTGGGCCACAACCCCAGCTTCTTCAATGGGGAGTTGACAAGTAACTTTCCATGAGATAAGCAGGTTACTCTTGCATGTGAGACGCTACCTGTCAAGCCTGCCACCCCTGCTCGCTGGCTACTAAATCCACCCACAACTTGCCCCACCACCCACCAGGAACAGGACAGCATATGAGACCCCAGGCTACCTGTCATGGCTTATCAGCCATGACATTATCATTACACATCTGTCCAGAGCTCACCAGGCCAAGGGCATTATACTACACAGTACAAGGATAAGAAACAAAGGAGATACAGCCAAGCACATACCACTCTATGTTTATGGGCCAGGGCGATTGGTTGACTAACTCAGAATATGGGATCCAAGATAATCTGATCTGCTTTCATCAGTTCTGAGGCCAGGAGAGCCTAAGGGCCATCTGCCTCCCAGGACAAAATATTTTCTTCTACTTAGTTCTTTTTATCTCAGGTTATAGAATAACATATACAGTATGAGCCCAATTTTGTTTATAAAAAAGGCCCATATATTCCTTTTCCTTGGTTTTCAACCAGTGATCCAGACAGTCTTTAGCAGGCTCTAGCAAACTCATCAGCTTCAGTGCCTCAGGCCTAAGAAAAAAGAGCTAACCTCAGCAGAGCTAGCTCTGAGCACTCAGAGGTATCCTCTGAGATGCACTCACTCACTGCCACATTCATTTAGGTGAGTATTTCTATGTTCCAGGAATGGGGATACACATTTCTATGTTCCAGGAATGGGGATACACATAGAAAACAGACGTGGCTCCTGCCTTCAAGGAGTTACAGTCTAGTGATGAGTGTGACTAACCAGGCAAATGACCACGCTGCAAGTACGTGCCATATGGGGGGAGCCCAGGGCTCCAGGGGGTACAGCACTGTGAGAACATGGTGAGGGAGGCTCCTCAGGAAAAGTCAGGATGAAACAAACACAGGGAGTAGAGAATAGGACTAAACTGGACAAAAGGAAGGGAGTGGGTTGGGAACAGCTTGGAGAAAAAGAGAAAAGTCCAGAGTAGCTGGTACAAGGTATGAGGCAGGGAATACAAGAGAATACGCAGAGGCTGGGTCATAAAAGATTTCATAAATTACATTAGAGAGCATGGACTTCATCCTGAGCACAAAGGAAAACCATCTATAGCTTTTAAGCTGGGGAGCAACAGATCTTCCAGACAGAACATTCGAAGCTGTGTGGAGAAATGGAAGGCAGGGAAACGTTAGGAGCCACTCTAGTAATCCAGAAAAGAGGTGATGGAAAGAAATGGACATGCTAGAGATACTAAGGAGATGGGGTCGACAGAACTTGATTTGATATAAGGGACGAGGAAGAGTGTGGTGGGGAGTTCACGTTTCTGATTTGTGCAACTAGATGGCTGACAGAATAAGGCTTCTGTCCTCATGAGGAGACGTGGTGGTGGTAGTCACTATTGGCTGCTTCTTTTTTTTTAATTTGGGTGTTCTGGTGTTAAGGAAAGAGTAGTGGTAGCAGCTCAAAATTATAGTCTCCTTTGCAAGGAAGAGGGTGAGACAGGTCCCACTCCCCTATGTACAGACTTCCTCTCTGCTACTTTGGTTGGACCAACTGAGTCTTGAGGAACCAACTGGCTCCTTTGGCCTAAATATCAACCTCACCATTTTTTTTTCAGAGACCTCTTTAAAAACTACAGATACGCTATGGGGAAGGCATATCTTGAGTCTTATTTTAATCAACTATTATTCTTCAGTAAGGGTTGGCTGGCAGTCAACTCAAAGCAGGGGCAGAGCAGCAGCAGCAGGAGGCATGGTGGAAAAAGCATGCACTGACAAGAAACGGGATCACGGTGAAATTTCTCTCCACTTCTCAGTGTTGCTCTTCTCCTGGCTCCAGCACTGCAAAATCCTGGACCCCTCTGGGTTAGCACTTTTCCATCACCAGAGCAGCAGACTATAGTAAATCAGGGATTTTACCAAATGAAAATGGAATTGGGCTGACCGATGAGCTCACTTGGTTAGAGCGTGGAGTGATAACACCAAGGTCAAGGGTTCAGCCAGCCACCAAAAAAAAAAGAAAGAAAATGAAATTGGTTTCAGTTCAGTTTAGTGAGTAGAAATTAAGATTCAGATTTAAGTTGCACAGCAATGTAATTGTGTTTAAGGCCATTAAACTGTACACTTAAATATGGTTAAAATGGTGAATTTTATGTTATGTATTGTTTACTACAATTAAAAAAAAAAAGAGACTCAGGTTTATTTTTTCCAGTTCTGGATAGTTTCTAAAACTCGCTTGGTTTGACTTCCATTCAACTGATGTATATTTACTACTGCTTTCAGTGTCTTTGGGGTCAGCTCATAGTTTACTGAAATATTACTATTTTGGTTAGCAAATTTCTGTAGTTTGCTATGGATTTTGGTACACAAATCAGTTCAAGCTTCATTTAAGAATATGTATGCGTTTGACCCAAAGAGAGGTACCAACATTTCTCTGGCAGCTGATTTCACAATATCAGACTTTAAAATACTACCTGACCCAGCAATTCTACTTCTAGGAACACTTACTATGGATTTACACACACAAGTACATCAAAAGATTTACACAGAAGGAGTTTTACTGGAGTATGTGGACATCTGGAAATGACTATAAATACACATTGAGAGCGGACTGGTTAAACAACTTAAAGCAAATCTGTACAATGTAATACTATGAATATTACCTGTACTTTAAAAGAGTAAGGCAGCATATGCTGATGGGGAAAAGCAGTTATGATATAACAAGTAACAAAAGAGCAAAGAACTGTATGTAGTATGATCCATCTACATAAAATAACAATAACGGAAACGAACACCCGTTTACACACACACACACACACACACACAAACAACCCATGTATGCTCACAAACAATGGAAGGGCCCACAAGAAACTAAACGCTCACCTCTGGGGACTGAGAGCCTGATGGGGCAAGTATTACTTTTATTTAAAAAAAAAAAAAAATCTTTAAATGAACAAAGTAACACTTATGACCACTCTCCTCACAGGTGAAGCAACTTGAGGAACCTAGAAACACCCCCAATTAACCATTATCACTACTTCCAAACCAGGCCCTGCCGCCGCGGTCACATACCTCTGTAAGTGGTAGATCTTGTGTGTGTACTGGCCTTTCTCACCGTCCTTCTCATACGGTTCATTCACCAGGACCTCCACGCCTTCACCACCACCCGTTTCATTCTTACTGGCCTCAGCCACAGAATACAGCTGCCCTACTTGATACTAATGGAACAGAGAGGCAGGCATATTCTCAACACAGAATCTTCACAACAATTACATAGTGCAGACGCCCATAACTGCCCAATTAGATCACCCTGGTGTCCCTTCATCTAGGAGCTCATTCTGGAGGTGCACACTGTGCCTTGCCCTAATCCACCCAAAGCAATGAGAACGCTGCTCCATGGCCTCTCTTTAGCCATTAGGTATGTTTAATTTTGTCCTTCCCATTTCCACACCACCCATCAGGGTATAAAGAGGCAGGTGGGAAAAAAAAAAGAGGCAGAAGAATATACTTAACCTCATACCACCATCCAGCAAATATTATAGAGTCCAAGAAAGCTTTTGCCCTGGGCCTGCCTAGGGTATTAAGACCCCAAAATAGGAGCTAGGTTGGTTGCTAGAAATCTCCTTATCCCATTCATTTAAATAGATCCTAAGACATGACTTCTTTTCAAGCGAAGGTGCCCAGTGCCCTATGAAATCCACAACCTCTGCTATAAAACTGGCTCATTTACTGCTCTTCCTCCAGTGTTGGGCCCCTCCTCACCCCACAAACAGCTCAAAGAAAAGTCTTTTGGGCAACCAAGCTTCCTGACGCTTTCCAGATTCCTGCAAGTGCTTCCTGTATTAGAGAGTACAGTTTCCTACCCCACAGTCTGTGCTGGCTGGGTACACCCTCTGTGTTGGCAGTTACTAGATGGCAAAAGCCTGATTTTCCTTTATTTGGGTCACATGCCACCAAGTCAACCAGTCAAGATCACTGGCCTCCTCTGACCCCCTCAGGTCAACTTGGTGTTAGGGCCAATGACATGGGCAGTGGCTCTTATACCCCTTTCTTTCTGAGGGAAGGTGTCTGGAGAGAAAAATAAGATGAAGAAGGAATGAAGAGCAACAGTGAATGCAGGAAGTTACATCTTACCAAAGGATGTATCTTCCTCATTGCTGCCAGGGCCAAGCAGGCAACAGTTAGGAAGTATGAGAAAAAGAAAAGGTACTTGATTACTTTAACACATTGGAAATGGGAGAGAATTAAGGTTTTCCTCACCCTCTTCATTCCCTTCCCAACCTCCTGGTACTCCCAGGGGTGAAAGACAAGGGCTTTTCTCTCTTTGGGATTAAAGTAGAGAGGCTGTACCTCTGGGCAACTGCCACTTAAACCACTGCCTGCAACAGCAAGGAGCAGCTTTCAGGGCTGCTTCCCCTCAAACTTGAAAGCCTGCTTTACCAGGAAGCTTCCTAAGCACCACAGGGATACTTCTGGGCAAAGTCTGGAAGGTGAAGCAGCAGATCAGGACAATTTGCTGCTCACCACAAAGCTGAAAAAGCCCTAATTTCCAAAGCAAAAACCCAGTACAAAATGCCAAGGAAAGGCCCAGGCAAGCAATCAAGGCTCAGTTAATCTCATAAAGAGGAACATCTAGGTGAGAGCCTTGACCATGACAATCCTGAGCAATCTCACTGCTGCCTCGATGACCCCATGGAACCCCAAACTGTCCCTGTGCCTCTCCAAGTCCACCCCCTAGCCAAGGCACACATGAAAACCACTATCAAATGAGTCAGGATTTGGCTGAGCCAGGGATTCCTAAGAAGGAGCAGTAACTCTGCTTCAGAGAAGAGTCATGAGAACATCTAAGCACTGACTCAGCAATCCTAAAGGGCAGACTGGGGAGAGGGCCTGGTGGAGGGGACAGGGATGCTGGCTGGTGAAGCTGCGTGGGGAGGGGCCCCCAGGCAAAGACTAATCGCCTTCATTTGCTTTCTCTTCAACTGCAGGAATCAGACGGCAGGCTCTAAGAGGATCAGTCTGTTGGCTGGCATCTTCCCCCTTTAATCTCTCTTGATATTCTTATCCTTTAATCCCAATGAGACAAGTGAAGGCAGTTTTGTTAATCCAAAGGGGTAAGTCAGACTGGCCTGCATAAGCTACAAGTGAGGGATACTTTTCATGTCAGAGCACCCTGAGAAAGCCAGACTCAGAAGGGGTGGAGGTAATTGTGGGAATCAGAGCATTAAATCAGATAAACAACCCCAAGGAGACCAGGATTCCAAGCCTCCTCAGGCCTAGGACAATGCTCCCTGCCCTTGAAATTTGTTCCTTTGTCCTAAAGAACTAAGACAGCTGAGAAAAACAAACTCCACCACTTTGGCAATCTGGGATTGGGAGCTCAGGAAGATGTAGTAGGTGGCCTCAACTACTAACATGAAACATGTCACAAAAAATAGTACAGTTGTTGGTCCTACCCACATGATCCCGTCAGGGTGGGTACCACAGAGGGATGGTGCCATGAATCTCTGGAAAGGAAAAGTAAAATAGCCCTGCCCACAGTAGAGGGTGGGCTGACCTGAGCCAGGAACCACTGTGGACACACCCATGACAGCCAGTGCTTTCTTGCTCTGCTGCAGAATGCCTAGAAACCCTGTGCCATGTTAGGCCAAAGGCTCTTGCCAGCCAGAAGCTAATTATGCCCCAAATATTGATTCAGGCCATCAGGATGATTATAAAAACATGACCTCTTTTCTCTTTCTTCTCTTTTCCCTGCAAATCAGAAAGCTCCAAGGGCCTCAAGTCATGGCCTCCAATTTAAGAAGTGAATCCACCAGTCACATGATGGTGGGCTGTGCCCATGCGAACTGTTGAGTCAGGATGCGGTTATTGATAAAGGTTCTGAGAAGGTTGATCATTACTTGTTTCTTCTTCAGGCTCCCTATTCAAGATTTTTCTGATCTTCTGGAACTAAGATTCAAGCCATCAAAAGAGCAGCTTCCATTTCAATCCTACACAGGCCATGTGCTGCTTTCCTGTCAGTGGTTTCTTGCTGAGAGTGGGCTGACCATCACCAGACAGAGAGATGAATCCTAACCAGCGCTTACTTCCCAAGCTTCTGCTTAGAGTTTAGGCTTTGATTATCCCACCCCCACCCTACCCCGCCCCTTTCTCAATATTGCAAAAAAACCATCACAAGCTGAAAACTGCCAATTGTGGACACTCTCAAGGTGAGAGTTCCCCTTTCCTTCCATTCTTGACCCCACCATTAACAATCAGCTTTCTGGCCCCTCCAGCCTTACTGTAGAGCAGCCAAGAGGTGCGCCAGGACAGTCCTGGCCTTCCTTATCTGCAGCACTTCTCAGAGACATTCCTACCCTTCATTCCCTCAAGAAACTCCCTGTAAAGAGATCCATTTCACCCCTAAACACCACACTGAGGAAACGCCAGTTCCTAGGAGATATTTTCCTGAACGGGCGTGTGGGATCATCCCGTACAGCAGAGTGGAAGTCACTGGACTTCCCAGAGCTAAGTTTCAGGTCAAGGGACATGCTGGGTCTTCCTGCTTGGCCTTCTGATTTGGAAAATCATCACTTGCTATTTTTAATAAAGACAGCAAGGCCCCCAAATGAGATGGGTTAACAGGACCCCCCCAAGCCAACACCTGTCAGCCCAGGCACCTGGTTCCCTGGATCCAGGTACATCTCAGGTGCCTCCAGGGATCACAGCAACTATCTAGTTATCCCCTCTTTTCCCCATGTTCCCCAGTCTCATTTCTCATAACTGTCCTTCCCAGACCGCCACCTCATGTTCAAGGCCCACCTCTGGCCACCTCTCCCAGGTCTCCATAGCTCTTCTCAGACATGTAGCCCCACAATCCCTGCCCACTCCTCTTGGGGGCCAACAAGCTTGGATATTTGTCTCAGCTAAAGACTGCTGCGGATTCTGTTGGTGTGATTTCATTTTTCAAACATCCAGTTCATATTTGGAACAGAGTGGAAGGTAACACAGGAGCTTCATGCTAACACTGCAGGAGAGAGAGATGAAGCCCAGTGACTGGGGGCACTATACTGGCTGACAAACTTCACCCAAACTTGAGTTTAACTGGAAACTGGTGGGGGGTGGAGTGGTGCTGTGGATTCAGAAAGAAGCATAAAACAGGGTTATACCAGGAGAGATGACTGGAGGAAGTTCAGGGGAAGGGAGGGACAAGGGAGGCTTTGTGACACTTTTCTACCGTCCAAGAGACCAACTCTGAGTCAGCGTGGTCTATGAACCTTATTATGGTAAATACTGCTGCCAGATCCCCATACACAGGTCATTAGACCTGAGAACCATAAAGGGACAGAGGGCAAGCTAAAACCATTTGTTATCTCCTGCCCTCTGTAAAAGGAAGGTTCTGTGTCTTGGTCTTTCCAGCAGTTACCTAGTGTGGCTAGGGAGGGCCTCAGAGATTTCCTGCCCTGCTGGTTTGTTGCACAACCAGAGAGAGCCATGCAGACATCCCAGCCAAGTCATGGAGGTCTCAGAAATGCACACAATCCCATCAATAACATGCCCCCCAAAGACACAGTCTTATCAGGTAGAAAGGGCTGTTTTAGTCTCTATTCAAAAGTCATCCAGCATGCCAACAGTTTGGGGCAGGTTGCACACAGTTGCCTGTATATAAAAAATGAATGCCTTCCTTCTATTCAAAGTGGCACCAGGAAAATTCGCATTGAGCACTGGTTATCTCTGTGTTAGAACAAATATGAAAACTCTATGAACAGTATGGCCACTCAGAGCCCAACTTAGTCAATGACACAAGCACTTATATATAACTATAGATAAGAAAGAAAAACGACTTACCTCATCTACAGACACAGGCAGGATGACTCGACTACAAGAGAGGGAAAGGAGAGTATCAATTTGAGGTTCTGAAACCTGCCCAAGGCTCTTAAAGCATCACCTTAGAACAGTATACAACATTTTGTTGCGTATGACACTATACTCACCGATAAAAACCCAGCAGAGAACAGCCTTCAGAGTGCTTTGAGGCTAGGAGCCTCTGTGCCCTTCTGGCATTCCATTTAGAACCCTGAGATTCAGTGCAAACCTGTCCCCCCTACCACCCACCAGCCACATCCCAGGTCTCTGCCTCAATTTTGGAGTTGTCTTCTTTTCCCCCTCCCTCATCCATATCTTTCCCAACAAGTCTTGCCAATAAGTTTAGTAAAACAGAGAGGCTAACACAGAGGACCCACCATGAGGAGTCAGACCCAAAGGATCAGGCCCTGGGGATTTATATCTCTGTGGACCCAACCTCCCAACGACAGACCTCAAGGTGAAAGACTAGGAAAGGGCCAAGCCCCTTGGAGGCTTAATCACCCTAAGAGCACATACCAACCACCTCTGCTCTGGGGCAGGATATTACAATACAAGCTACTACCACGAAGCCACCAAAAGAGAACACCCAACTTGTATCCTAACCTCTAGAAGCTGTCCGAAGGCACCCCAACTGATCGCTTTCTTTTTTTCTTCTCCATTTCAATGATCACCAATTAACTGTTTGAGGTACCACTAGTAACCTAATGGAGAAGCCATGGCCAGCTAAGTCCCCATGAGAGTCAGAACTGCACAGAAGTACAAGGGCTAGTGGCACTTCTCCAGGTGGCTTGCATTTGTAACACAGATTAGCAGCCAAACCCCAGTACAAAGCTGCGAGCTCAGAGAGCTGGGACAAAAACCTGTGCTTGTACTCATACAAGCCAAGCCAGTTCCCAAGCTTGGATTCTCAGTCCCCAGACCCTTGCTGGAACCTGCTGGGCGCTTCTGTGTCTTGCATGCTTGGTGAAGCACGAGCTGCTATGCCCTCCTTCCTATGCAGTAGGCTCGCCAGTCAGGCTCCTTGCTGCAGGCTGGTAAATAGCTATTTTCTAGTTCCATGAAGGTCTCCCAGGAAGCAAGAAGCACACAGACGGGTCTGAGGGAAACATCACACTAAAAGCGAGGCACCACGCAGAAAAGTAGCAGGAAAAGCAAAATGGGCTCCAAGTCTTCACTGCCTGCTACCAACTCCCTTCCTCCAGAACGACTCATATAATGTAAATCCTCCAGTTTATTGAATGCTGCCACTAAATGCTCTCCTCACATTAGAGAAAGCCAACCATGCAAAAAATACTCCCAACTTGGAGGCCAGAATTTCTGCACCCTTAGAAGAAACTTCCTAGAAAACAACAAGCCTTTTATCTTCAAGAATAGCTGCAAAAATCACATCCAAGAATTTATATAAATCAAATCAAGCAGAATCCTGTTAGAGGAAGTGTCAGAAAAATCAACAGGGACAATCTTGAGACCTTGGGTGGGCACCAAGTCTCCCCACAAAAGAGAGTGGCATTGGCCAGTTCCTGACAGGATGCTCTAAGGCTGCTTACATTACAGCTGCACACCCAGACATTTCTCCCTTGCTCTTTGGAAACAAAACCACTTCAGCAGCGATAGGGTACAATTCCAAAGGATGGGGTCACAGAGGCGCTGCTGGGCTGAGACCAGAGACATGCTCACTGTAGTGTGACCTTCACTCGCACCCTTCCTAGAGCTGCAGCGCTGCAGCCACAGCCAAGTGTCTCAGATGCACCCCCTCCTGCCCTGTCCCACCCAGGGATGCAAACACGGGGCACAAGAAAGGCAAGAAAGAAACGCAGGTGCCAGGCAGGCTCCATACCTCCAGCACCTTGGGCCTTTCCCTGACAGGCTTCAAGGGGAGGAGAACAAAGAATGGGAGAGGAGTACCTTTCTTCAAAACTCACTCAGATGTCTTCTGAAGGTCCCTTTCTTTCCCTGCCTGTCCTTCTTTTCAAAACTACAGATTGCTACAGATTCTAGGGTCATCTGGAAATAGGAAAAAGGATCAGAAGAATGGGACAAGCCTGTTAGTCTGAACATTCAAGATTAAAACACAAAGTGCACCATGTTCTCCTCCTGTTGGCATCCTAAGGTTCTTCCTCCTCACCACCAGACTGGGTGTCAAGAAATAGAGGTGGTGGGGCCTCAAAATAATGCTCTTCAGATGAGGTATCAGGCTGGGATGACACCTGGGTCTCTGCTCCCTTTGTTATCCAAACTCCACACTTTGCCCTAAATGTCCTAAACACCTCCAAGGAACAAGCCTGGTAGGGATGGACAAAATGCCTTCACTGACAAATGGAAAGAGCCCTCTGTACACCTGCCTTGTGACCAAGAGAGTTCCACAAGTTGCTCCCTACTTGGACATCGCCCACTTTTGGACTTCTGGCCCAATGTTGCCCACTTACTCTCCCCCTCCAAGGAAGCACAGTTTCATTGAAGGCTGTGCATGTGCACATCCAATTTCTCCTCTTTGGGGGGAAAAAAAGCCCTGTCATGTTTACTTGGAACCATGAGCTTCAGGGATGGGTTATCTTGTACTTGAAAGATTTAGCAATCCAACATTCCCACCTGTTACCCAATCACCTGGATTTCAGGGGCAAACCTATCTCTCTCTAACTCCTACCGGAAGTCACCACTTTCCCACCCGTCACCCTCAGTCACCACTCAAGAACTCCCTCACCCTTCAATGTCTTTCCTCAATTAATGGCTTTATGGAAACCTCCTCAATTTCTCAGAGCACTTTCCCCATCTCTTTGCACCAAGACTGAGAATCACCTAGAGAAAGAGGTTACCCTTATCCTGGTCCTCCCGAGCTCCAATAATAGGTACACTTATTCACAAACATACTCTCTGGACTGTCCTCCACCCTGGTAACTTCCCATCGCCATAACTCCCTAATATCACTTCAGACCCTGCCCAGTATTTTCTGGACTCCTCACCCAAGTGTCCCCAAGCACCAAGAAATTTTTCCAAATGCCAAGCTTTTTTCCAAATGCCTCCTCTTCCTTTTTTTTTTTTTTTTTTTTTTT